AATGAAAGTGAATGCAATGAGTGAAGGCTAGCAACTAAGAAGAGTAATCTATTCCTTCCAGTCGTTCGCAGTCAGTTTAATCACGTGACTGTCTCTTATAATGGATATATAAGAGGCTCACGTTGTGTAGTAGCCTGGGTGTGTTAGTAGACTTGCCATGTACAAGTAAGCTAAACGTTGAGAGACGAATAATTAAACCGTTGGCTGTTGGACTCTTTGACTGGAAGTTGTTGTCGCCCGCGCGCGTTACAATATATTAGTGTTGAATACAACTCCAAAACTGCTAATTTGGATCTCAAAAGCCAAAGGCAATTATTGACCCAGGACAGAGTATTATCTACTAGGGAATAAAATTGTCTTTTTTCAGGTTAGTGAACTTCGGTAGCCGCAGGTAACAATCAGAGCTGGGGGTTGTCACTCATAAAACAGTATTGTTTTTGTTATATGCTTATGCAGCCAACCTAGTGTAACTGATACGAGTTTGTTTGCTTGTTTGCAGAGCGAAGAAGAGGGTCGAGTTGCCAAAATTCCACTACATCGACCACCGCATTGAGATTTTAAGCCATGACAAAGAATACACCAAGGTTAAGGTGTATGAGATCGCCGAAGCTCACGAGCATCCGCTGACGAAAAACGCCTAGTAAACGATTCAGCGAAAATCCAAGACGACAACGATAAAAATAAAGGAATTTACTCAGGATTACTATATAACACTTGCACTTCAGCAATTCGTTTCGGGATTTCTTAGAGACTAGCTCTTTGGTTCACGTTTGGAAAAAAAACAAAACAAAACAAAACATAACAAAAACAAAAACAAACAAACAAACAAAAAACGGAATTGCGGAATTACATTATAAGGATAGACTTTTTACACTTATACATTTATACATGTAGCTGTAGACAAATAAAAGAAAGAAAACTAAGTGAGAATAAAGTTGTTGTCAAAGCCAGTTAGTTGAAGTTTAGTTTTGTTGTCATAGAGTCTTGGCGAGTGGAAGAGTGACGTTGGCGTTTCATGTAATTAGCAAAAAGTCAATGGTTTACCTTCCCCTTCTTCTCACTAAAAGTGCAACAGGAATGGTGGAAGATTAAAAACAGGAATCAGTCACTCCAGCCTTTTTTTAGATGCACTCAACCTCCGAATTCTTATTTTCACCTGATTCAATCTATTCATTGTTTTATCTTGTAAAAAGAAATTGGATTTGATGGAATCTTTAACTTTTCATTATTCGCAAAATCTCAATCATTTTTTGTTAAGACCGAGTAGTGTGACAAGTCTGGTATCCTCTTCTTTGTTACTTTACTTCTTTGTTGTCGCAATCATCAAAGCCTAAACGTTAAGGATTATGGCCCCGGGCTCGCTTCTGGTTACCACTGAAAAGATAAGCATCGTTTCTAAATGGCGTATTCCCTGCTTTGTGGCTCTGTGCCACTCGTGCTGGTGAAAAAAGGCTTCGAACTCCATTACGTACTGTGTATGGGTCAAAACAATCGTCACGCTTCCCCTTACACCAATGGTTAGGAAACGCGAAGCTCTGAGAGCATCAAATTTGGGCATGAGCAGTGAAAACTGAAGTCATTCAAGCGATGATGGCGGACAAGTAAATTAAAGTGCTCGGTCGTGCTACAAATAGAGAGAGAATATTTGAGATTTTAGCTTTGTTTGGTGTAAACTGTGGACAGTCAGAAGTAATTTTGTAACGGTCTTATCTTATTCAGGCTCGATTTTTTAAGGTATGTGAATTTTAAGATGGTAATTTCAGCGCAGTTTTCGAAAACTGTGGCTCGTTCTGATGATTGCCACAGTCAACGAGTCGATGAAAACGAAAGAGAACGTTACGCTCAGTGGAATCCAAGGTTTTCATCCTTGTCAATGGGGAAAGTTAATGCATATCTCAAAATGAAAGAAATTGAAAAACAAACTAGAAGTAGAAGCAGTAGAAGTTGCGCATGCTGCAAACGTCTTACTTCAAAGAATTTAAGCCATTGGAGTCCAAAACAACATGCTCTTCGCAAGAATGGGTTTGCTGTTCCTTTAACA